AAGCTATTTTAACTTCCAGAATTTCAAATGCTATGTTTCTGCCCCATTTTTGTCACATTCCCACATAATCTTTTCTCTCCCAAAGCCAAACAAATAAAAACCAAAAAGGGAGTAATATTACATGACACATCAGTTAAAATCCCAAGAAGAACACATCTTTACAAAGTTAAAAAAAATTAAAAAATAACAATGGTCCTATAGCACCTTAGGGTATGTCTACACAGCAAAGTTATTTCAAAATAACAGCCATTATTTCAAAATAACTTTACTAGCATCTACACAGCCAAACCGCTATTTCAAAAATTAATTCAAAATAGAGGACCTCTTATTTCGAATTTGTTAAACCTCATTCCACGAGGAATAACGCCAAATTCGAAATAGCTATTTTGAAATAAGTGCTGTGTGGACACTTACATCGAAATAGGGGGCCTCCAGCCTTCCCAGGGGGTGCTGGTGGCCACTCCAGCCTCAACCAAGAACACTCCTCTCCCTCCCCTGCTCCCCAGAGCCCTTAAAGGGGTTGACTCTGGCCACAGTGCCTGTGCCAGCCCCAAGCCTGCCAGCCCAGAGCCAGCAGTCACTGCCCCTGATCCCGTGGCCCCAAAACATGAGCCAGCAAGTCACTGGCAGCCAGCCCTCCACCGCTCCCCAGGAGCAGTCTACTAGCTCCCAGGAGCCTGCCAGGGCCTGAAGAAAGCGGGCACCTTCCTGGTCCAGGGTGGAGATCATGGACCTTATTCAGGTTTGGGAGGAGATGTCCCCAACGTCCATGATCGCCGCACAAGATGGAGGAACACAGCCGTCTATGGCAGGATAGCTGCCAGCCTGGCCACCAAAGGCCACATGCGAACCCAGGAGCAGGTTCTCATGAAAATCAAGTTGGTCCGGTGAGCCTCCCAACCCTGAGCTTCCCCTCCCCCTACTTCCCCTTGCTTCCCCCTTCCAGCTCCCTCCTCCCATGTTTCCCCCTCCCCTCTCTCTTCCCCTCTCCCACCTCCTTTCCCCAGTCTCACCAGAGTTTCATCCCCTCCTCCCTCAGTTTTGTTAAATAGAGTTTGTGTTCATGAAAATACGTGTATTTTATTTGACATCAGGAAGCGGGGTTAGGGATGGGTAAGTGGAAGGACATGAGGGAGGAATGAGGCACAAGCCCCCAACTGGGCAGACCAGGGAGGCTCTTAGTGCTCCTCAGGGTGGAAGCTCTCCCCACAGGGCCTCCTGGATACTGACAGCCCCCCGATGAACCTCCCCAATGGCAGCCTGCAGAAAGTGCAGCCAGGCTCGCAGCAACGCATCCACAAGAAGCACCACAGTGCCCCGGGGCAGCTCTGCCTCCATGTTGTAGAGTGCTGTGGTGTTCCGAGTGAGGGCAGGTTGAGCACGCAGAGACAAAATGCTTTGCTGTCCCTCATCGAGGTAGGCAAGTAAGCAGGGAAACCTGAGAACCAGCTGTCCGGCGGGCGGGGGGGGCCCTTTAAGCACAGGCCTCAGATAGCCTCAGGCAGCAGCCACACAAAGTAACTCCTGACCTGATGCCCAGCCAGACCTGGTTCCGGCTGGCCTTAAATACTATTCAGTGTCCACTCCGTGTGGATGCGCTATTTCGAAATGCATTTTGTGTGTAGACGTGTTATTTCTAAATAAGCTAGTTCGAAATAAGATATTTCAAAATAACGCTGTAGTGTAGAGATACACTTAGAGACTAACCAAAAAATATATCAATAGTATCATGAGCTTTCATAGGGCACAATCCACTTCTTCAGATGGCAAATATGGAGCAAGAGGCACAGTAGTTGAATTATAAAGCAGGAAAAGAGGGGAGAGAGGGATGGGGACAAAAAATGTGTTAATTAAACTGTCCATGCTAAATGAGGCTAATAGAGTAGGGTGTAAGTGCACAATACTTAGCTTTTGATGTCATTTGGGTGTGGAACATAGTGGCCCATCCAGTTCATGTCTTTGTTCAAGCCATGAGAGATAGTATCAAATTTGTGTATGAAGGCCAATTCCGTCGACTCTCTCTACTTAATTCCTAAAATTGCTTTGTAAGAGAACAGCTGCCTTTAAATCCATTAATGAGAGCCCGGGCAACAGATTTCTGTGTGTTACCATTTCAAATATCTGATTTGTGTCTATTAATCCTTTCTTGTAGAGACTGTCCAGTTTGGCTGATATACATGGCAGAGGGGCATCGCTGGCACTTGATGGCATAGATGAGAGGTGGCCAACTCTTAGCTCTAAAGCTGCATGCAGCTCTTTGCTTAGAGAAATGCGGCTCTTAAGGTTACAGCTCGATTGCTGTTCAGAGCTGTGCACCCGAACTGGTCGTGGCTGCTCTGCGCACGTGCTCCAGCACCTGGAGGGAGAAATGCTTGGCAGAGGTGGTGGTTCCGGTGAAACCCAGGCTCTTGGGGAAGGGGAGGGCATTGGGTTAGAGCGGAGGGAGGGGAGTAGAGGAGGCTAGGGGTGCTTGGCTCTGCGGCAGTGGCATAGTGACACCAGACTCGGACAAGGGATTAAGGCACAGGAGAGGGTGAAGGCTCCAGCTGGGGTCCAGGATGAAGGCTTTGGTATGTGGGAGGGGGCTCATGGCTGGGGGAGTGGGTTGAGGTGCAGCAAGGTGAGGGCTCTGGTTGGGCATGCAGGCTCTGGGGTTGGGCTGGGGCTGAATGGTCTGGGGCTGAGAGATTTGGAATGTGGGAGGGGGCTGGAGTGTGGAGGGGTGAGGGCTCTGGCTGGGAGTGTGGCTCTGAGGTGGGGCTGGGGTTGAAGAGTTTGGGATGCAGAAGGAGGTTCTATTGTAGGGTCAAGTGGTTTGGAGTATTGCATGGGGTGCGCAAGCTCTAGGAGAGAATTTGGAGGCAGGAGAGGGCTCAGGCCTAGAGCTGGGGTGCAGACTCTGGGAGAGGGACTCAGGACTGGGGCAGAAGGTTGGGGTGCAGGAGGGGCTGAGGGTGTGATCTCTGGGAGGGGGCTCAGGGCTGGGGCAGGAGGCTAAGGTGTGGGTGCCAGCCATGCGATGCCTACTTTAGGTGTCTCAGAAGTGACCACCATGTCTCTGCAGCCCCTAGGCAGAAGTGTGACCAGGTAGCTCTGCACGCTGCCCCAGCCACAGGACCAGCCCCTGCTGCTCTCACTGGCTGCTGTTCCTGGCCAATGCAGCTCCAGAGCAGCACTTAGGGTGGGGACTGTGTACAGAGACTCCTTGATCACCCCTGAGCCAAGGGGCTGCAGGGACATGCCTGCTACTTCCAGGAGCTATGCAGAGCTAGGGCAGGCAGGGAACCTGTCTTATCCCTGCTGCACTGCCAACCAGACTTTTAATGGCCTGTTTAGCTCACTGGAGCCACCAGCACCCCTTTTCAACCAGGTGTTCCTATCAACCTCCACACATACACACAGACCCCACACCCAGAGAGGGGCCAGAGAGGAGTGGAGATAGGGGAACAAGTAAACAGAAGTAAGGGAGCTGCTGAGGCTGGGGTTACAGACTGGACCAGGAACACAGTTGGATGGCCCTCCCTCCCTGCTCCCACCGCATGGGAGCTGACTTGGGCCCCAGCCCTCGTCACCAATGTTCCACCGCTGCTCCACAGGGGACTTCTGCTCCTGAGATTGCTTCTGTGTCTCCTCCTATTGTCTTCAATTTCAGAGAGTTACTGAACCAAGCTCTCAAGCCACAGTCCAGCACCTGCCCCATCAAACCATGCTTTGAGTTGCTTCATGCAGAAGTGTTACCGGCTGCAAAAATAATGAACAAAGATCAAGAATTTTCTCTGTATTTTTTAAAAAAATTAAACAACACTGGTCCTGTAGCACCTTAGAGACTAATAAAAATATATATAGATAGTAGCATGAGCTTTGAAGAAGAAGTGGCTTGTGCCCATGAAAGCTCATGATACTATCTATCTATTTTTGGTTAGTCTCTAAGGTGCTACAGGACCAGTGTTGTTTTTTTAAGTTTTTTTAGTTACAGACTAACCCCTCTGAGACTTCTCTTCATCTGTGCAGCATTCCCAATGATAGACCTGAAACTGCTGCATGAACAACTGCAACCCCAACACGTCTGGGAGGTGCTTAAAAAAAAGCATCACCCCATAGAACATTTTACATTAAAAACCAATCCCTCGTTTACTTTTCTGCCAAGACCTGAGCTTATGATGCTCAGAGCTCCCTGCAAGAGTTGGGGACCTAGCAAACTAAGCACCCAGGTCTTGAAGGAGGAAGCAATTTTTCAGTATAACTGTAGTGGAGATTTTCAGCATTTACCTGCTGTGAATGGGCCATGGTTTGTTTGAAGACTTTACACCAGGTGTGGGCAATAATTTTTAATGGGAGGCCACACCAAGATTTTGGCAAGTGGTCAAGAGCTGCCCTTCTGTGGAGGGGATGTGCAGACTGGTATAGAGGTTGGATGCAGAAGAGAACTTGAGATAGGGGACCGGGGTGTAGAAGGTGGTGAGGGGTCTGAAAGGGAGTTTGGGTGAAGGAGGGGCTGTGATCTGGGGCAGGGGCTTGAGGTGCACAGCCCAGTAGGGCAGATGGGTGCAGAAGAGGATTTTGGCTTGGAGGTGGTGCTCTAAGAGGGGGGTGCAAGTTTTGGGAGGAAATTGTGACCTGGGAGAAGGTGGTGCAGAGGGGTGACCTGAAGCAGGGGAATGGGAGTGCATGATCAGGGAGGGGGTATGGGTGCAGGCGAGGAGTAAAGGGAGGGGGTGCAGGAAGTTGTGACCTGGGCAAAGGGGTACAGAGGGTTTGGGTGGTGGCCTGGTGCAGGTAGTCAGAGGGAAGGGTGAGGGACCAGATGGCTGGGAGGCGCTTACCTGCTACAGGCTGCACGTGGCTCCAGTATGGGCATGAGGGGCGGGATAAGGCTTCTCACGCTGCCCCAGAGCACCGCAAAACGTCTCAGGCTCCTATTGGCAGGAAACTGAGAGATTGGCCAATGGGAGCTGAGAACTTTTGCTGGGGGGCGGGACAGCAAGAGAAGTCTCCGCCCATCAGCTCGGAGCGGGGAGCTGCTGGCGTTTCGAAGCTGTTCTCCGCCTAGGGCTTCTGCAGCCTCGTGCGCTCCCCTGCTTTGCGCTGTTTGCAAACTAAGTACGTGCCTGGGGTGGGGCGAGCCCCTTCAGCCGGGCTTGCGCGCTGGGCACAACTCAGCAACTGAGCGTTACGCCTTGAAGAGAAACACATGACGTGTGGGTTTGCCAAGCGGAAGAACATGTCTCCTTGTGGCACAAGAGCGCAGAGCCCCCCCCCCTGTAAGGTAAACGCTGCGGGTGCGGAGCGGGCGATGGGAGGGTGCAGAGCCACGGGGTGGGCAGGAGAGCGGGCTGTGGGGCTGCCGCTCGCAGGGAGCTCGGCATTGCCGCTGCAGCCGGCTGCGTTGCGGAGAGCGTGGCGTGTGGGGCGCGTTGAGCAGCGCACAGTGCGGTTTGCTGTGCCGAGTGCACGGGGCTGCAATGCTGCAGTCCCCGGGACCAGGCGGAGAGGGCGGGATCTGCTTCCTGTCGTCCCGCTATTTCAGAATCTTGTGCGCTGCCTGGAGCTGGGACCTGTCGTTTGGTGGGACGATGACTTGCCGACTGCAGCTGGAGCCTGTTTTATTTGGGAAAAGAGGGAGGAGCAAATGAAATGTGCACAGTGACGCTGCTCAGGACAGGAAAGCAGTTTGGGTTGCAGCTTGTGCCAGAAAGCCTCAACGCCCCCTGCGTTCACATATTAACATACTGCTTCTGGCTTTGCTTTGGAGTAGAGATGTTAGCAGAGAGTCGTTTAATCCAAATGACTCCACGCTCCCCTCCCCCTTGTTCCCTCTGCATCAGAAGTTGCAAGGCAGGGAGGCAGGAGCCAGTGCGCTTTTACGCCACTCTCCCCCAGCACTGGATCCCACAGAGCCACTTACCCCTGTTCTGCTGCCTCTAATAGGCAGCAGCAGCACGGAGGAGCAGGTGGGAGCTGGTACCCATGGGGAGCCGGCTTTCAAGCCCGTGGCTTGTACAGAACTGCACTCTGTAGCTCAGTGGAGCCGCCTGTCCCCTCCTTGCTGCCTCTCACAGAGGCAACTGGAGAGTGGGGAGGCAGGTGGAAGCTGGTACTCAGGGGGGAGCTGGCTTAAAAGCCTGCTTCCCTGAGCACCTGCATGGCTGAGCCGCCTCCTCCTTCCACAGGGAGGGGGGAGAGGTGTGGAGGTGGTGGGATGCTGGAGCAGCCTCCGTCCATGGCAGGACCAGGCTCTTCCATAGGATGATGGAGTCAGAGTTCTTCCTGCCTCCAGACAGAGTCTGCTACCCTCTGCTGCCTCTGATATTTAGGCAGCAGGTCTGGTAGCGAGGGACTCCTGGGAAATGGGGCTGGGAATGCACTGGCTGCTAAGGGATCATTGAATAATCGTGTAGCTGCTAAGATTGTGTGGTTACACAATTGTTACATTAAATCTACCATCCCTGCTTTGGAGAACTTAGTCTGATTGTTTACAAATATATTTCTATAGAAAATGTATTTAAGACCTGGAATTTTCAAAGCCAGCATCAATTTCCATGAGAGGTTAAGGGATTTTGCTGCACAGGTCCCTGATGCTAATGGGAATTGTGCAATTAAATTCCCTACTTCCAAGATTTATACCAGGAAGATAATTGCTGCTGAGGTATGATACCACCATTGCCAACCCCAAGCATTCAGAAGTCATGATTAGCTTAAATTGAATGCCTTTTTGTTTCTGATCTTTAGGGTTGACCTCTTCAAGCTTTTCTTAGCCGCCATGAAGGTGAGGGATGGAAGCTGAGATTCTAATGTAATCTTACCTCATGTGGGAAGTAGAAGCTCTAAAAATGCCAAATACTGTCAGAATGATAGAATCGTGAGCAGTGGCAAGTCTGTATAAATGCCCAGTGACCACAGCTTTTGACCTTTGAGCTAATAATTATTTGCTGGAAATGTTCTGGTGTTTCAGTTAGAACTCGTTTGGGTCATCGTGTGACCACCTCAACTGTAGAGACCAACACTAATTTCAGCTGTCTTGTTGATATAAAATAAAACTGTGGGGTCTGTTTCCGCTCCAGTGGAAATCGATTGGAGTTTTGCAGTTAACTTCAGTGCACAATTGAAGACACAATTTTTGGTGCTTTTTTTAATATTTACCTTGGAACTTCCTTTCTTCATTTTTAGATTTGCATTCCCTTGACTGTTTAAAGAGCATTTTGTGCTTTTTGCTTACCTTACACAATTTATTTTTTTACAATGGCTGAAGAGGCCTAACAAGCTACATAAAAGCAAAGAATGTGCCCTAAGTACTGCATTAAAATGAAAACATACCAAGAGACAGTATATCTGGGCAAAAAGGTATCTTTAGCTAACATTTAATTATTTCTTTATATTAGGGCAGAGCCCAAAGATCTGTCAGGATTGAAGTACTATTGTGTCAGGTGCTGTACAAAGTTGTTAGATAACAGGTCCTAGCTCATTATGCTTTAATTGAAAACAAAATGCAACAAGTGAGTATTCACAAACAATAGGAGAGAAAGTAAAAGACCAGTAGAACTTTTAGTTGCATAGATCACCTTTGTACATGACATGTTGGTACAAAACCATTTACAGTAAACGTCTGATAATCCGGCACCTTTAGGACCCAGGGGGTGCTGGATTATCAAATATGCCAGACTATCAGAAGGGGGGGCTATGAGGGGTCTGGGGTGGGGTGGGGAGGATGCCACCCCAGACCCCTCATAGCCCCCTCTTCTGATAGTTCGGCTCTGCCCCAGGCATCTCTGATTCAGCCGCTGCTGAAACTGACCAGCAGCGGCTGAATCGGGGACGCCTGGGGCAGAGCAGCTGGGGTGCTGCCGGGTTGGTCCCGTAGAGCCGACCATCTGCTGGTCAGTTCAGCAGCGGCTGAATCAGGGAAGCCGGGCACAGAGCAGCTCCAATTGTCCGGCAGCCGGAGCACTTCCGGGTTCCTGATGGTGTCGGACCATCAGGAGTGCTGGAGCATTGGATGCCAGACCAGTGGAGTTTTACTGTATTATGTAAATCAGCATAGCAGTCAGCCTTCTGTCTAGATACTTTGCTGCACCTTCTCTGTTTGAAGAGAGGTCCGGTCTGTCTCAGTATCATTTGCACCAAAAATGTTTCTAACTTGAGGATATATATGTACATTCTTACAATAATCATAGTTCATCCTTTCTTAAACAGATGCTCTAATCTACATCTCATTCTGGTGGCATTCTTTCTAATTTTCAGCCATTTGGGTCAGTGGGTAATATGAATCTGATACAGCTGATTGGGGTAGCTGCCATACTACAAAGCCCTGTTTTCAGTGGTTTTTTGTGTCTTGGAAAAACGCTTTGTGTAAGTATATGACACTGCTCAGCCTTTTCTGAAATAGTAATATGGATCCAAAAATACAGCAAACAGGATCCTATCCCGAGTTTAAGTGAATAATGGCAGTGCTCTTAATTTCCTACACCCTAACTTTGTCTAATAGCTATCTTCTGATATTTCCATATTCTTCAGTGCTTTTTATTATTCTTTCATAGGCTTTAGGAAAAGCATTCTCACAGATATGCTTCCTGTGAAATTTATTGGAACTTGGTATTCTTGTGTATCCGTTTTCATGTCTGGTACTGGGAAAAAGCAACTTTTATGGAACTGATGATAAAATCATATTAATCTTGTTAGCATGATAAAGACCATCAGTATTTATGGAGGACTGAGAAGGTAAGGCAGTTATCCTGTACTGGTTCTTACTGGTTATAGCCTCCAAGATTAAAATGGTGCAAAAGCAACCCTGATTCCTCTCCTAACTTGAGGGGAAACAATACTGCCTTTGCATATAAAGGCTTGCATAGCCTGATGACTGTTTTACTTGAACTTAATTTCTTTGGAAAGTATTCTTTATAGGGCTACGTTTAAGGGGGTATATATTCTAGCTGTGGATGCTATTTAGCACTCTGTTTAAGCCACACACTTGTATAGTATCTCAATTCAGAGTTATGACTCAAGTAAGAGAAATTGCTGACTCATTTTACCACACTTTTAAATTAAATAAGAGTGAAAATATTGTACTTACATTTCAGTGCATAGTTCACAAGCAGTGGGGGGCAACCTGTGGCCCATTGGGGTTCTATATATGGCCCATGAGACATTTTGTTTTGTTGCCCGTACGCCACTGGTTTCCATCGGTGTCATTTTTTTCCCCTACTGGTATTACTAAAGTGACATGCACTTAAAGCAGGGGTGGGCCAGATGTGGCCTGCCAACCCACTGATCTGGCCTATGGGTGCAGCAGGATCCTCAGCCAAGCTCACTGCCTGCCCCTGCACACTACTGAGAGCAGCTGTTGTGGGGGCCATGTATATATCTCTGAGCACTGCAAGTCCAGAAGGAGAGGCTTCATGTGCTGCCCCCATCCCCAGCACAATTTCACAGCTCCCATTGGCCAGAAACTGCCCTCTGCAGCTGCTCTGAGAGACGTACAGGGGCATAGAAATCAGGGAGCCTGGCTGAGGAACCTGCTGGGCTGCTGGATGGAAGCCACTCAGAGACAGAGTCTGCCTCTGGCACTCCAGCCCCACATAACCCCCTCCCTTCCCAGACCCTGCACTCCAATCCCCTGCCCAGGTCACAAACCTCTCCTGCACCCAAACTCCCTTGCAGATCCCATACCTTCTCCTGCACCCCAATCCCTTACCCCAAGCTCCCATCTGCTCCATGCACCTTCTCTATTAATATTATGGAAGAAAGCAGCCCTTAACACCTTACAAAATTCTTGGGAGTGCTCCCTACTTCAAAAACTATTGCCCACACCTGATTTAAAGCAAGGGTATGTGAAGCGAGATGCCTGCTAATTGCACACAACATTGACTATGAGAGTCATGTGCTCCCTCTGCATCCAATCAAAGTGCTGCTATGGTTCAGTTGGCACACCCTGCAAATTCTAGGTATGGAAGTGCAGTTAGCAAAACTACCCTGCCCTGGGGGACTGTCTTAGTTACAACAAACTTGCAGCACAGGAGCTGGAGGGCAGTGTTCCCTCTAATCACCTGTGAAGCTGTGCTGCTGCGCAGTTTAATCAGTCCCACCAAGTCAGAAGCTCGGGGCTGATTAATCTCCTGTGAAGCTGTGCTGCTGCTCAGCTTAGAGGCGACGCTGATGGAAGGCCACTCTTGTGGCCCACTCACTAGCTTAGGTTGCCCATCACTGGTATAAAGAGGATCATCAAGCAATTTTAAAAAATCATAATTAATTGAGCTGTTAATAACATTTACATTTTTGTCTTCATTTTCAAATATATTCAGCTAGTAGACTTTACCCAGCATTGCCTGGAACCTTCAGGGTAGGGTACTGGCAGTGTGAGGGGTGTAGGAGTCAGTATGGGGGATTGAGGAGAGGCTCAAGATGGGGGTGGAGTACAGGTATCAGGGCAGGGGGCTGGGAAAATGCAGAGTTCTGGGGAAAAGAGCTTGCCACCTACCCCATCTGCCAGCTTGTCCCTAAGAACTGGGGTGAGGGGCAGCTCTACCCCCCTCTCAAGTCAGTGGGGCTGTCTCCTTCCACCCTCCTCATTCTGATGCTGTGCCCAAGCCGGGAAGGAGTTTTGGGACTGGGGTCCACTTATCCAGTCTGTTGGCAACATGATGAGCCCCATTTACAGATGGCTACTCTTGGTGGTATGGCTGCCCCCCACTGCTCACTCTGTAGTACAGCATCCCTCCCTCCCTTTTCATGTTGTTATGGAAGATTTTCCTGGCATATCCAAAACCTGACCTTTCTTTAAGTTAGGAGAAGTAGGATGCTGCATACCAAATTTAAGGGGGCGGGGGATGCTAACTTATTGTTTAGGAAGAGCTCTTGAATAAACAGACTCAGAGATGCACATTTCTAAAATATAGACAGAAGAGTACAATACAAAGTACAGTGCTCACTTGTTTTGATTACAAATACACTGTAAAATAGTATTTTTCATCTGGTGTAAGTACTGTCATGAAAGCTGAACTTAGAAATGTAGACTTATGTACAAAAAAGACACAATAAAACTTTAGAATCTACAAATCCATTACATCCTCTTACTACTTCAGCCAATAGCTCAGAAAAACAAGTTTGATTTTGTTTGCTGGAGATAATGCTGCCTGCTTGTTCAATGAAGACAGTTTGCATGATACTGCTGTAGCCAGCATCCCAAGATATTTATATGCCAGATGTGCTAGAGCAGTGGTCACCAACCAGTAGAGCAGGCTCTACTGGTAGATCTTGGAGCCTTTGACAGGTGATCCTAACTGAAACCCCATTTCAGCTGCCCCTTCCCACACTGCCCTGCTTGTTGGGCAGGGTGGGAGAGACAGAGGCACTGATGCCACTCTGTTCCCCTCTCCTGTATCCCCATCTTCACAGAGTGAGGAGGGGAGAGCCTTGACGAAGGGATGGGGTGGAAGACAGGGTATTTGGGTTTGAGGTAGATCCTGGACTGACAAATTCAGAAAGTGATGTTGTGCTTGAAAAGGTTAGCATGATTCGGCCTCCATTCCAGAGGATATGCAACCATGCTGATGAGTTCTGCTTGTGTCTCGCATATCTGATACATAAATACATTCCAACATCAGTTACCCAAGTGTCATGCTAATGCCTGTTTTCTTTCAGGTAACATTATAAATAAACACTGGGCAGTATTATCTCCTATAACTGTAAACAGACTTTTTTCTTAGTGATTAACTGAACAAGTAGGACTGAGTGGACTTTTAGGCTCTAAAGTTTTACATTGTTTTGTTTTTGAGTGCAGTTATTTAACAAATCTACACTTGTTAAACTGCACTTTCACAATAGCTTGCTCTACAATACTTGTAGGAGAGTGAATTGTCATTTTTACAGTGCAAAAGTTTGTAAAGTGATCACTGTACACATTGTAATTTAAATCAACTTTAAAATGTAGAAACATTCAAAAGTGTTTATTTTCAATTGATACTATATTTAAGTAAAATTACAGTGAGATTAATCAAGACTAACAATCACATTTGAGTTAATCATGTGAATCAATTGCAATTGACGGCCCTATACAGAGCGGTCTAAACAAGCCATTACATTTCAATTTGTAGGGATGTTAACTAATGCTTTTTACATAGCCTATTGTAAACCTAGGAAAATATCCAGATGAGTCGTTGTACCCCACTGTGTACATCTATTCCTGATTGAGAGCCACTTGTTTAAGCCACTTTTTTTTACAAAGGTTGTTGTTTAACAGAACTTATTTCTGTCTTATTTCTCCTATGCAAATATGAAAGTGCGTTGTTTGAGTAATGCTGTTTTTCCTCCAACAGGTTCTTATGAAAACTCTCTGTGGAATCTGTCAAACCTACATTGACTTATAGATCAACTATCAACTTTTTCAATACTATTCTTTAAAGTGAGGGAGACAAGGTGAGTAAGAATGAGGAGTCCTGGGGCACCTTAAAGACTAACAGATTTATTTGAGCATAAGCTTTTGTGCGCAAAAACCCACATTGTGAGGAGGAGAAGATAGTAAGTATTTTTTATTGTACCAGCTTCTGTTGGTGGAAAGGACAAACTTTTGAGCTTCACTGTGCTCTTTAAGTCTAGGGCAGGTAACCAGAGTGTCTGAACTAAATACAAGTTGGGACTATTAAGATGAGGGTGAGAATGAAACAACATGGAATGGGCACTTAAGGGTTAGTAAGCAGTGGATGGTATTAAATTGCTGTAATGAGCCATAAAAACCAGAATGTGTTTAATCCACGGTTGGCAAGATACGGCCTGGGCCATTTGATCCAGCCTACCCTGCTGTGCCTCCATCCCCAGGTGAATAGAGACCCAGGGCCGGGTGTGGGGGGGCAAGAGCATGCCAAGTCTCCTT